CTTCCTCTCTGTCTCTCCTCCTCCATGTAAATCTGACTGTCAAATAAATAAAAAAGCATCTCTGAAAAAGGAAAAATAAAATCAGGTAGAACTTCCATATGACGCACCAACTTTAACCTCCTTTGGACAGAAAGTTTTCAAATGTCTGTATTGTTTTCCACAGTACATTTTTGTAGGAATGGGGGTTTATCCTTCCCTCTTCCAGCCCTACCTTCCACAGAAGGTTTTCTCAACAAAAACAGAAAGACCAAGATGCTCATTCCAAAGTCCACCAGATAAAACAGCATCATTCATTTGAAACATTTAAACAGCACAACACTTCAGCACAACAAGACCTCTGCTGCCATTTGCTGGGCCTTTCCCAAAATGGCTACACAAATTCTAAAATCTGTGTCTATTCACTTTAAAAATAATGAAGGTGTGTACAACACAGGTTTATTAAACAATGCCCGCTGTTCCACGTACTCACCTCTCCCTTAAGCCACACAAAACCTGAACCAACAAAGGAACTCTGCATCCTGATTGTCTCCAAGTCCCAGGTCTGGCCAATCATCAGTGCAGTCACTCAACATCTTGTTCTTCCATGTGATAAGCACAGGCATGTCCCTCTATTCTGTTTTGCCACCCTTCCACATAGGTGTGTGTTGGTTGATGCAGCTGGTTCCTGCACACTGTGTGGGAGACCCGGAAGAGACTCTTATTCCTGGCTACCGATTGTCGTGGCTCCAGTTTTTAGTCACTTGCAGAGTGAACCATTGGACAGAAGATCTTCCTCTCTGTCTCTCCTCCTCTCTGTATTTCTGCCTTTCCAATAAAAACAAATAAATCTTTAAAAAAAAATGGCGGGCGTGCTGTTCAGTATAATACCCTGCCCAAGCTGAGTTCCACACTATTAAAATGGAACACATCTACACTTCTCCTTGGCACTGGACACCCTACTTGGAGAGTGTCGTTAAGCTGTAAACAGGGTGATACCAGCGTGATGGACTCTCTCATTCAGGAACCCATGAATGAGGTGACCTGCAGCTCAACAAAGTCAAAATTGAGGCCAGCCGGGTACCAGGTGTGTGCCAGTGGGGGGCTCCTGGTGAGGGACATTCCACACACATGCTGCAGGTGCCAGGAAAATCCGCCTGCCATAATATTGCCTGTCATGGCTCCTGTACAAGGACAAGGTTCTCAGGTGGATCTTGAGATGGTGCCTGAAGGTGCCCAACTGCTGGAGGGACAGGTCACAGATCTCACAGCAGTAGGATGTTGTGTTAGTGTGGATGAGGTAGTGCACATTGAGGTTCCCCTTGTGGCTGAAGCACAGGCTGCAGTACTTGCAGATGTGTGGCCATTCCTGTGTGTGGATGCACCTGTGTGTGACCAGGCTGGCCTCATATGAGAACATGTGGTCACATTCGACACACACAAATAGCTTCTCGCAGTGTGGATCCGCTGGTGGACACGGAGGTCAGCGGCTTGTGTCAAGCCCTTGTTGTTACATTCCTTGCACTGGAATGGCCTCTCACCAGTGTGTGAACTCTGGTGGATGACAAGATGGGATTTGTAGCAGAAACTCTTGCTGCAGTTCCCACACTGACACGGATGTGTGGCTGGCTCTGTGGAGTGTAGGGGCTCTGTCCCAGCCAGGCAGGCAGGTGCTGGGAACCGGCTACTCTCTGCCTGTAGGTTTTCCCCCAACCCCTCTGGAAAGACCCTCCTTTTTTTAACATTTCTCCCACGGCGACTGCCCCTGCAGGTTGATGTGTCTCCTTCTAAACCTTGGTGGGAGAGGGATCAGTACCTGAGCCTCTGGCAACGAATTCTTCACTGGAGTTATCCCCTGAATCTGCTGTAAGAAGCAAAATGAGTATTTGGCACTTAACACAGAGCTAGTACCCATGGTCACTGCAGTCACACAGTCAGCCTCAGCTGCCTGTAGGTCCCAACCTTGGGACCCTACAGAACCAGCCACAGTCCATGCCTGCTCCAAAACAGCCAACTCCCCAGTGCCAAGCATCTGAGGGCATCAGGGTCATTTCAGCCCCACACTCACCAGGAGCCCATGGCAGCTGCAGCCTTTCCCTATCCTTCTTCTTGTCCTCCATGTTCAGATGTGGCCAAGCATTTGTTCCCTTTGGGTCTCTCTTTGCTATGTTCGTCTTCTGGGGTGTCTCTACCTGACAAAGACAACCAGCAATCACTGACATGCCAACGACACTAGTGCTCACCAGGTGCTTCTTGGCCATGACCTGGAAAGGCTTCTGGGAGACTGCCCGTCATCGCCCATAAACCATACCAGGCCTGTGACTTCTGCATTTTACTACTTTAAGCTCATAAATTGTCTTCAAAAAAGTCATAGAAAATGCCTACTAAATACAAAACAAAAACAAGACAAAAAATTGCAGTTGGCTTTAAAAAATTTTTATACCTAAATTAGGTTATCTTTAAGGAATATATATTTATTTTCATCTATCTGAAAGGCAGAGCAAAAACAGGTCTTTCATGCACTGGTTCACTGCCCACATGACCTGTGACAGCCAGGACTGGCCACCCTGGAGCGAGCAGCACAGAACTCCCCTGGGTCTCCCAGGTGTCACAGGAGCCATCACCTGCCTGCTTCAAGATGCTTTACCAGAAGGCTGGATGAGAAGCAGACATGGCACTGTGACACGGGAGGGAGCTTCTCCCACTGTACAACAATGCCACCTCTGAAGGTACCAGGCAAGTACATTTCCCATGAGCTTTCTGCAATGTCCTCCTACTCTCCCTGCAGTGGACACTGGCAACACTGTGACTGCACTGGGCTGCACATTCCCTCTGGTGGGAGCTGCCCTATTTCCTGCCCAGGAAGGCTGCTGGACCAACCAACACCAGGCAACTAACACACCACACCATTGAGGTCCACTTGAACTACAGCAACTCAAAACTTCTAAATACCCCTGAAAAGAAAAAAAAAATGAGCCAGTGTGAGTGTCACCCTTAAAGAAGGTTCAGACAGTTATTGCAACACTTTCTTCAACCAATCATTTCTAGAAGTATCTCTGAGGAGACTGGCTATGGGGAAATTAGCTTTTAGCTATCCATCTATAGCCTATTCCCTTAGAACCTTAACACTGAAAGACTTATTGGCAGAAGGACAAAAATCAGTGATTCAGAGCTCACATTACTCAGAAGCATCAGAGGATGTACTAAGACCATGGTCAGTAGGTCTAGTCCCACTTGAACTCGCCACAGCCTCACCAGGTCTGCTGTGCCTTTCACAGACCACCCATTCACCAGTCACCCCAGATGGGTCCTGCATCCCTGCTGGCCCCTACAAGGCTTGGGATGGACTCTGGCTTTCCTCAGGAGGGATCCTAGCCCCAGATGGCTGATGCTGCCTGGCCAAGTCCATCATATCCTCCATATCAGTGGTCTCAGATTCAACCATCTATGTATCCGATTTTCAGGGAAGGAATTTCTGTCCTGTGAGACAATGATGGACTGGAAAGAGAAGGGAAACACACATCAGACCAACTGAGGCAAGTTTGGTGTACAGGACAATAGGGGTAGCTCCCTGTGACCGCTGAATTCCACATCTGGGCACCTGACCTGGTTGAGGAGGGCAGTGGGGTGACAGCTGCACCACAGATCAGAGTACCATTTCAAGTCCTGGCAGCTCCACTTCTGATCGAGTGCCCTGCTAATGTGCCTGGGAAAACAGCTGTTGAAAATCTAATTTCTTTAGCTCCAGCCACTCGCCTGAACAGTAGATGGAGCTCTGGCCCTCTGGATTTGGCCTGGTCCAGCAGCCGCAGCTGTTGAAACCAGTGGAAGTTAGACAGCCATATGAAGGTTTGTTGTCTCTCTGTGTGGCTCTGCTGTCCAAATCAATGCGTCTTAAAACAAAACAAAACAAAACAATTTCAGGGTAATTAAGGCTTGTCCCATAGTAGACAAGCTGCATTGTAAATAGCCTAGAATCAGCCCAACAGACACAGCAAGTCCATTTAGACTACTCTGCACTATCAACACCAGCACCTGCCCCACCCTCGTCTTTAAGAACCTCACCAATATGGGGTCATTTGGAGGAACCAGTCTCCAAGTTTATAGAGAACAGCAAGAATCCTCTTGGCAAATGCCAACCTTACCACAGGCATCATTGCTCAGCTTGGCATGTGCATTGAGCTTGGTTCCACAGGATATCCTGGTGGTGGCCATTGACTTGCGGCACCACCCAGCCTAACTTCCTCTTTTATGCCTGCTCCACTCATCACATCTGCTTGCCTCCTTGGTACTGGCCACACACACATTGTTCTGCGTTCCCCTGGAACGCAAGTATTCCAGACCGGTTCTCAGCCCAAGCAATACTAGCATCTTACACTGATTTTCCTAAGTTAAATGGAGTCCCTGATTTCTACTGCCCTGGACCCAGCCGTGCCCTGCCTGAGTGTGACCAATGTTCTTTTCTCCACTGCACCGAGGAAGTACAAGTTGGTTCAAAGAAAGTACAAGGTGGGGAAAATGGACTTATAACATCAGATGCTGTCAGTGGTATAATCTGGGCAGTCTCAAGAAATATGTCTCAATTACACAAAATTTTTAAAGATGATTCATAATGTTTTAAATCCACAATAGGATGACACTTCACCTAATTTCTGCATCTATATGATTACACAGTCAGGGTTGACATTGCAGATAAATGTTCTGTTAATTTGAGGCCGACTCACCTGGCGCGGCGTCTGTTCCCGGAACACATGCCAACTTCTGCGGGGTAGTAGTGCAGTGGGTTGAGCCACAGGTCCTCACAGATGATCTGTGTGTAGAAGAGGGTCGGGAGGGAGGAAGAAAGCTGGCAGGCATGATGAGGAGGGCTCGGAGAGCTTGCAGCCTGACTCGAGAGCACCCAGCAAACCTATCTTGTGTTCAGCAGGGCGATGGTGAGGAGGTGCAGGGCGGGGTGCTGGGACTGAGAGGGAGGGAAATATAGGAAAGATGATGGTGCTGTGGGGCTGTGGGACGCAGCTCACCCTGGCAAACTTGCTGGAACCTGGAACACTGCGTCCCAACAACCAGTCAGAGAAACAGTGCCCACGCAGGTGCGTCCTGCAGCCGCCACGTTCTGCTTCATGCTCCCTCAGCCACCGGATAGCCGTAGATTGAGAAGCCCTGTATCCTGCAGGGGAGCAAGAAGCACGGCTCAAAGGCCAAGCTTGCTTCCTACCTCCTGTGAACCACCCCCAGACGCAGTCCCTGTCGTCCCACATTAGCAGGCAGGCACGTGCGTGCTCCAGGAGGAATTACATACCCATGCCCGTCTGGTCATACACTTTAACCAGCACTTCATTCTTGAAGTAGGGGTTCCTCCTGAAGGACAATTCTATACGGCAGTGTTCTTTGGGGAAGCTGAATTCCTGCACCTGGACAGGGGTCAGGAATGGGGGGAATCAGAGCGGCAGCGAAGGAGAGAGAAAGAGACAGAGATATAGAGAGGGTGGCTTGTGCTCTGGCAACAGGCATTCCTGTTGCTATTGGCTGCCTCCAGCAGAAGGCCTTCCCCCGACCCAGGCACTACTCCACTACCGCCATACACAAACCCCCAACCCTAAACCAGGCTGCTGACTCGCCTGCAAATCGTTCAGGTAGCTCAGCAAGTCCCTGTCTTGCTCACAGAGAATGCCCGAGATCTCCGGGTGATTCACCATCGAATTTAAGTCAAGGAGTCAGCACTGTCAGCAGAGAGGTGCATAAAGAATGGTGGTGGGAGCACAGGGTTTACGGGATGAATGCTGGAGGGGAATGTGCTCTGGTGGCACTTGGTTGTTGTGCTGGGTGGCCCTGTGCTGTGCTGTGCTGTGCTGTGCTGTGAGGAGGCAGGCATCCCTGTCCTCACCAGCCTGAAAGCACCGGTCTCCTCTCTGGGTCTGCATGTTCCTCTGAGGGCAGCAGCCTCCACCGGCTGTCACCTGGCTATGCGGCAGTGCCGTGGCATCCCGTGACACTCCCTGTTGGCACAGTAGCAGGGACACCAGTGTCAAGGGCAGTTGGGGCAGGCAGCCACCCACCGGGTGTGGCAAGGGTGGGCAGGAGCCCTTTAGGCCTGTGGGCCTCCCCAAGAAAGGATCCTTTGTGCGGGTCCAGGGAGGCAGCTGTCCCATGCCACGCACTCCTGGGAGCCTTGAGGTGGTCCGCCAGCCTGAGATTTTCCCTGTCATCCATCACGCCAGCCACCTCCCGTTGTCACTCCCATGCATGCCCCTGCGTACCCATGCATCTTCACACTCTCTCATTGGTTAGCCCACATGTTCCCGAGAGGGGATCTGTCCTTCCAGCCCTGCTCCTCAGCCCTCCTCCTCACCCCTCTCCCACCACCTGCACTGCACCCATCGCTGTCTGCGGCAGCGGGATGGTGCCTGAGGCAGGATACCACCTGTGGCCAGAATCCTGGGATGTCCTGCAGGATGGCTCTGCGGCGGCGCTGGTGAGTCTCGTCATTCTGCTGCACCTGCCTCCTGAGCAACGCACAGGCCCTCCTACCGCGGCTATTCACCAAGCTCAGCTCCAGCTGCAGGAGCTGCAGCTGCTCCCAGGCGGGCCTGGAGCCCCAGCGCGCCTCCTCCCGCCTCAGCTCCTCTGCTGCAAAGTCTTCTTCTGACACTTCCTCCTTCTGCTCATAGCCAATGGACTCCAGCTCCACCTCGGCTGCTACATCCTCCCGCTCCAGGAGAACCTCCTCCACGCTGGCACTGCGGGCTCTATCTTCGCAGGGCTCCAAGTGCTGTTGCTGCTCCTGCCTGGGCTCCATCACAGCGCTGGCATGGCCCAGGGAGGCTGCCACAGCTGCAGATGAAGCCACCACAGCCACCCCCGACAGAAGGGCCCCTGGCTGCCTCCCCAGCGGAGGCTCAGGGACCTGCCCAGCCTCGGCTCTGCTGCTCACACCCACCAGGCCATGTGCTCTCATGGCAGCCCCGCAGTGCCCCGACTGCTCACCACTTGCCATCAACCCCTTGCTCCTGGGCTGTCCCTGCTGCCCCGTGCTCTCCACCACCACGCAGCGCGCACCATGAACAGAGTTCGCGACGTGCCCCGCCCCTGCCCTTCCCGCCATGCCTCCTCCTGACGTGCCCCGCCCCTGCCCTTCCCGCCATGCCTCCTCCTGACGTGCCCTGCCCCTGCGCTTCCGCCATGCCTCCTCCTGACCTGCCCGCCCCAACCTTTCCCTCCATGCCTCCTCCTGACGTGCCCCGCCCCTGCCCTTCCCGCCATGCCTCCTCCTGACGTGCTCAGGCCCCGGCCTTTCCTGCCATGCCACCTCCTGACGTGCCCCGCCCTGCCCTTCCCGCCATGTCACGCTGCGATGTGCCTCCCCCTGGCCTTTCCTTCCATGCCACCTCCTGACGTGCCCTGGGCGGGCCGTTTGCGATTTCACCTCCTGACGTTCCCTGCACCGGCCCTTCCCTGCGTGTGCCACCTCCTGACATGCTCAGCCCCAGCACTTCCCGCCATGCCACCTCCTGACGTGCCCCGCCCCGGTCCTACCCGATGTGCCACCTCCTGACATGCGCCACCCTGGCCCTTCCCTGCATGTGCTACATCGCGATGTGCCCCGCCCCAGCCCGCCCTTGGACTAGCAGTTTTGGCCCTAGGAGGGAAAGCTAAGTGTTTCTTGCAGCTTTCACACAGCCGGCAATCGTCTGGGACTTGAATCCGGCAGCTGCAGGACTAGTAGCAAGGCCACCCAGAGGGCAGGGAATGGCGACCCACTTCCTGTGCCACCTTTGCAGCCTGTGCTGCTGCACGCTCTGAGTTGTTCTGCTCCACGACTTCCTGTATGCTAAAGGAGCTGGCCCTCTGTCCCCTTGCGTGGAGATTCCTGACACCAGCCATGGGCAAAGCAGGTCAGGGCTCCAGTGTGCAGCACTGTCTCATCAGCCTGAGGGGCTGAATGCCTTTGCCAGGCAGTCGCTAGTCCTTGAGCCCCCCTTCCCCTCCCCAGCCAGGCCCCCACTCACACTCACTCACTCAACACTCACAACAAAGCCCGGCAGCATCTCTTGGGCAATTGCCAGGAGGCTCACATCTCTGCCCCCCCAGCCTCTGGCCCACCCACCCGTCCACGTTGGACGCAAAAAACGGCCCTTCCAAAGTCAGACGCTGCTTGGCGTTTCACGCGTCTCCCATTCACGCTGACCACACACATTGCTCTCCCCCATCTCCGGGCACACTGGGACCAAGAGCACCAGGTGCCAGGATGGGGCAGCCTCGGGGAGGGCGCTGGGAAGGGAGTGGGGCCGGGTGGGTTTTAGGTGAGTTGCGGGGGCTGGACGAGGTGGGAGGACCAGCAGAACATTCCACATCACACCCAGGAGGCAGACAGCAGGGGCATGCCCTCAAGAGCCACCTGCAGGCCTCCACAGGCACGTGGCCCTGAGCTGTGTGAGCACTGACGGAACCCCCTGCACCCTAAGGGAAGGAGCCCAGGCCACAGATAACGTCTCAGATGGACAAGCTCCTCAAACCACACAGGCTGCGGGGCTGTCATTTCCACAGACCTTTCACCATGCCTGTGGCCTCAAACACTCTCCTAGGTGTGTACAAATTGCTCTGCTCCTGTTAGGCCCCTGGCGTGCAGAACATGCACAGAAGCAGCAGCATGACACACACCCTTGCTCCAGGCAGAAATCTCGACCGGTTCTACAGGGACCAGGGTGCACAGGACAGTGGGCCCCACACAAGGCCAGGCTGAGGGAGGGTCCACCATCAGAGGACTGGTGCCGGACTTCACGGGGAGGTGCAATATGCCTGCCATGGCAGAAACATCAAGGGAGCTTCTCACAGATGTGGGGACTTCGTGTGTGCATTGGAGCAGGAGAGCAGGCCCAACCATGCGGGCCGCGTCTCAGGCTTCTGGGCAGGGTATGGAGGTGAGGACGCGTGGAGGTGTGGAGGCCAGGATGCCAGTACCTCTTCCGAACAGCAGCTGTGGAGCGGGGCTGGCCTTCCTGTGGACTACGTGCCAGGGAAACAATGCAAGATTTCCAGGTCTCCTGGCTCAAAGGCCCCCAGCCATGATAGGCTGTCTGGGGCAGTGCATCCTTGCTGGATCCTAAAGGCATCGAAGTTGGAATGAGGCGGGCAGGTGTGAGCTGGGAGTAGAGGCAGCTCTGTAGACAGAGGCCCAGAAACACCCCACTACCACACACTGCTCCGCCCTCTATCCCACCTCTCGCTCCTCCTCCAGGGATTGAGGTGGCCCATGCAGGTCTCCTCCAGCTGTCCCGCTCCTGCCTCCTGAGCCCTGTGCAGCCCAGCGAACGTGGCAGCCAGCAGCCCTCAGTGCCGGTGCCGCATTGGCAGTGGCCCTTCGCAAGCTTCGTTCCTGCGTCTGCCTAAGGAGGGGTGGCAGAGCCCGGGTATTAGATCCTTCCTTCTCCACACCACAGAATGGCTGCCTGCGTCCACACTGCTCTCTCCTCCCAACACAGCCCACACCACGGACCCCAGCTCCCAGACTCGTAGACACTGCGCACTCCGGCAGCACATTCTTCTGCAACTTGCTCAGCAGGCCTGTCCTGCCACTCTGCCTCACTTAGGAATCCTCAGGCTGCTACTCAAGCAAACAACTAGCCTGGGGGACTTGCCAGCTATGCTCTCGCCTTGCCCCGACATTCCTGGCGACCCCCACTATGGGATGGGATCCACGCAGAGAGGTAGCAGTGTATGCCCAACCTGGAAGGCAGCTGTGCCCAATGCGCTGGGTGCTCAGTTGCCTGCTCATTGCAAGCACCCATCACCTGCCTCGGCAGGAAGGGCACAGCACTCAGAGAGGCCCTGTCTCTGCATCCCTCCCTCTCACCACCCACCCCTGACGTTAACACTCTCTTCCATTCCTCCAGGTGCAGTGAAGTGCAGAAGCCACACTGTTTCCACAGGCTATGCCAATCAGCTCGCCACAGGGCTCTGGGGCACATCATCTAAAGCAATCCCCACACCCCAACACCAAGCAAACAACAAGAGCTTCACGGGCAGGGCTCAGCCTTTATTTGGCATTGGACCGACACCGTGGATTCTTGGCTCGTGCCAGGTGTCCCTGACACTTGACTTGCGGGGTTCCTTATCGTCCTGTCAGTAAGCACCCTGGTGGACTCTTCTCCTCTGCCCCGGTTAGTTAAATCCAAGGTCCCCTTTTGGCTCAGGAGCCGTGCAGCTGGGGTGGGGATCGGCCACGCTGCAACCAGCTGTCTCATCCATCCGTTCCGGATCCCTGTGGGGAGGGCTGCAGGGCAACACAAGCATGTACACACGCGTTCTGTGGCCGAGCTCTGTCTGCCCCTGCAGGAACTATGCACAAGACAGAGGCCTGAGCAAACGGCATCGCACATGTAAATGCATGCACACACTCGGGGAGAGTCAAACCTCAGTGCGTCTTCATAAACAGCAGGGCAAGGATAGAGTCCCTCAGCTGCTTCCCCAGGTGAGCTCCTTGTGTCTTTCTGAGACCTGGGGCTAATGCCCACCTGTGCTCCAGGGACATAGCCACTGCATGTGAAATGGTCCTGGGAGTCTGTGCCTTCCCTGGCACACTCCTGAAGAAGGACTAGGATGGTGGAGGGTCCATTGGACTAGGTGTGATGGTGAGTCACCCCTGCTGCATGGCACGAAGCATGGCAGGAAGCACCACGGCAGAGGATGGCAGCAGGACTCAGTCCATCCTGAGGTGCCACAATGAAGCCTTAAAGCCCGGTGGTGACTGAGAAGGATGCCTGGCATGTTCTGCCTGCCATGGAGACATGGGCGGCCTAGCAAGCTTGGGAGCATATTTGCCCAGACTTGGCAGAGACAGTCAGGCATGAGAAGTCTTCTCCACCTTCAGTCAGACTCACTTGTTTCGCCCAGTGTGAATCTGAGGCCTGCTCACCTGGCGCGGCGTCTGTTCCCGGAACACATGCCAACTTCTGCGGGGTAGTAGTGCAGTGGGTTGAGCCACAGGTCCTCACAGATGATCTGTGTGTAGAAGAGGGTCGGGAGGGAGGAAGAAAGCTGGCAGGCATGATGAGGAGGGCTCGGAGAGCTTGCAGCCTGACTCGAGAGCACCCAGCAAACCTATCTTGTGTTCAGCAGGGCGATGGTGAGGAGGTGCAGGGCGGGGTGCTGGGACTGAGAGGGAGGGAAATATAGGAAAGATGATGGTGCTGTGGGGCTGTGGGACGCAGCTCACCCTGGCAAACTTGCTGGAACCTGGAACACTGCGTCCCAACAACCAGTCAGAGAAACAGTGCCCACGCAGGTGCGTCCTGCAGCCGCCACGTTCTGCTTCATGCTCCCTCAGCCACCGGATAGCCGTAGATTGAGAAGCCCTGTATCCTGCAGGGGAGCAAGAAGCACGGCTCAAAGGCCAAGCTTGCTTCCTACCTCCTGTGAACCACCCCCAGACGCAGTCCCTGTCGTCCCACATTAGCAGGCAGGCACGTGCGTGCTCCAGGAGGAATTACATACCCATGCCCGTCTGGTCATACACTTTAACCAGCACTTCATTCTTGAAGTAGGGGTTCCTCCTGAAGGACAATTCTATACGGCAGTGTTCTTTGGGGAAGCTGAATTCCTGCACCTGGACAGGGGTCAGGAATGGGGGGAATCAGAGCGGCAGCGAAGGAGAGAGAAAGAGACAGAGATATAGAGAGGGTGGCTTGTGCTCTGGCAACAGGCATTCCTGTTGCTATTGGCTGCCTCCAGCAGAAGGCCTTCCCCCGACCCAGGCACTACTCCACTACCGCCATACACAAACCCCCAACCCTAAACCAGGCTGCTGACTCGCCTGCAAATCGTTCAGGTAGCTCAGCAAGTCCCTGTCTTGCTCACAGAGAATGCCCGAGATCTCCGGGTGATTCACCATCGAATTTAAGTCAAGGAGTCAGCACTGTCAGCAGAGAGGTGCATAAAGAATGGTGGTGGGAGCACAGGGTTTACGGGATGAATGCTGGAGGGGAATGTGCTCTGGTGGCACTTGGTTGTTGTGCTGGGTGGCCCTGTGCTGTGCTGTGCTGTGCTGTGCTGTGAGGAGGCAGGCATCCCTGTCCTCACCAGCCTGAAAGCACCGGTCTCCTCTCTGGGTCTGCATGTTCCTCTGAGGGCAGCAGCCTCCACCGGCTGTCACCTGGCTATGCGGCAGTGCCGTGGCATCCCGTGACACTCCCTGTTGGCACAGTAGCAGGGACACCAGTGTCAAGGGCAGTTGGGGCAGGCAGCCACCCACCGGGTGTGGCAAGGGTGGGCAGGAGCCCTTTAGGCCTGTGGGCCTCCCCAAGAAAGGATCCTTTGTGCGGGTCCAGGGAGGCAGCTGTCCCATGCCACGCACTCCTGGGAGCCTTGAGGTGGTCCGCCAGCCTGAGATTTTCCCTGTCATCCATCACGCCAGCCACCTCCCGTTGTCACTCCCATGCATGCCCCTGCGTACCCATGCATCTTCACACTCTCTCATTGGTTAGCCCACATGTTCCCGAGAGGGGATCTGTCCTTCCAGCCCTGCTCCTCAGCCCTCCTCCTCACCCCTCTCCCACCACCTGCACTGCACCCATCGCTGTCTGCGGCAGCGGGATGGTGCCTGAGGCAGGATACCACCTGTGGCCAGAATCCTGGGATGTCCTGCAGGATGGCTCTGCGGCGGCGCTGGTGAGTCTCGTCATTCTGCTGCACCTGCCTCCTGAGCAACGCACAGGCCCTCCTACCGCGGCTATTCACCAAGCTCAGCTCCAGCTGCAGGAGCTGCAGCTGCTCCCAGGCGGGCCTGGAGCCCCAGCGCGCCTCCTCCCGCCTCAGCTCCTCTGCTGCAAAGTCTTCTTCTGACACTTCCTCCTTCTGCTCATAGCCAATGGACTCCAGCTCCACCTCGGCTGCTACATCCTCCCGCTCCAGGAGAACCTCCTCCACGCTGGCACTGCGGGCTCTATCTTCGCAGGGCTCCAAGTGCTGTTGCTGCTCCTGCCTGGGCTCCATCACAGCGCTGGCATGGCCCAGGGAGGCTGCCACAGCTGCAGATGAAGCCACCACAGCCACCCCCGACAGAAGGGCCCCTGGCTGCCTCCCCAGCGGAGGCTCAGGGACCTGCCCAGCCTCGGCTCTGCTGCTCACACCCACCAGGCCATGTGCTCTCATGGCAGCCCCGCAGTGCCCCGACTGCTCACCACTTGCCATCAACCCCTTGCTCCTGGGCTGTCCCTGCTGCCCCGTGCTCTCCACCACCACGCAGCGCGCACCATGAACAGAGTTCGCGACGTGCCCCGCCCCTGCCCTTCCCGCCATGCCTCCTCCTGACGTGCCCTGCCCCTGCGCTTCCGCCATGCCTCCTCCTGGCCTGCCCGCCCCAACCTTTCCCTCCATGCCTCCTCCTGACGTGCCCCGCCCCTGCGCTTCCGCCATGCCTCCTCCTGACGTGCTCAGGCCCCGGCCTTTCTCGCCATGCCACCTCCTGACGTGCCCCGCCCCAACCTTTCCCTCCATGCCTCCTCCTGACGTGCCCCGCCCCTGCCCTTCCCGCCATGCCTCCTCCTGACGTGCCCTGCCCCTGCGCTTTCGCCATGCCTCCTCCTGACCTGCCCGCCCCAACCTTTCCCTCCATGCCTCCTCCTGACGTGCCCCGCCCCTGCCCTTCCCGCCATGCCTCCTCCTGACGTGCTCAGGCCCCGGCCTTTCTCGCCATGCCACCTCCTGACGTGCCCCGCCCTGCCCTTCCCGCCATGTCACGCTGCGACGTGCCTCCCCCCTGGCCTTTCCTGCCATGCCACCTCCTGAAGTGGCCTGGGCGGGCCGTTTGCGATTTCACCTCCTGACGTTCCCTGCACCGGCCCTTCCCTGCATGTGCCACCTCCTGACATGCTCAGCCCCTGCACTTCCCGCCATGCCACCTCCTGACGTGCCCCGCCCCGGTCCTACCCGATGTGCCACCTCCTGACATGCGCCACCCTGGCCCTTCCCTGCATGTGCTACATCGCGATGTGCCCCGCCCCAGCCCGCCCTTGGACTAGCAGTTTTGGCCCTAGGAGGGAAAGCTAAGTGTTTCTTGCAGCTTTCACACAGCCGGCAATCGTCTGGGACTTGAATCCGGCAGCTGCAGGACTAGTAGCAAGGCCACCCAGAGGGCAGGGAATGGCGACCCACTTCCTGTGCCACCTTTGCAGCCTGTGCTGCTGCACGCTCTGAGTTGTTCTGCTCCACGACTTCCTGTATGCTAAAGGAGCTGGCCCTCTGTCCCCTTGCGTGGAGATTCCTGACACCAGCCATGGGCAAAGCAGGTCAGGGCTCCAGTGTGCAGCACTGTCTCATCAGCCTGAGGGGCTGAATGCCTTTGCCAGGCAGTCGCTAGTCCTTGAGCCCCCCTTCCCCTCCCCAGCCAGGCCCCCACTCACACTCACTCACTCAACACTCACAACAAAGCCCGGCAGCATCTCTTGGGCAATTGCCAGGAGGCTCACATCTCTCCCCCCCCAGCCTCTGGCCCACCCACCCGTCCACATTGGACGCAAAAAAACGGCCCTTCCAAAGTCAGACGCTGCTTGGCGTTTCACGCGTCTCCCATTCACGCTGACCACACACATTGCTCTCCCCCATCTCCGGGCACACTGGGACCAAGAGCACCAGGTGCCACGATGGGGCAGCCTCGGGGAGGGCGCTGGGAAGGGAGTGGGGCCGGGTGGGTTTTAGGTGAGTTGCGGGGGCTGGACGAGGTGGGAGGACCAGCAGAACATTCCACATCACACCCAGGAGGCAGACAGCAGGGGCATGCCCTCAAGAGCCACCTGCAGGCCTCCACAGGCACGTGGCCCTGAGCTGTGTGAGCACTGACGGAACCCCCTGCACCCTAAGGGAAGGAGCCCAGGCCACAGATAACGTCTCAGATGGACAAGCTCCTCAAACCACACAGGCTGCGGGGCTGTCATTTCCACAGACCTTTCACCATGCCTGTGGCCTCAAACACTCTCCTAGGTGTGTACAAATTGCTCTGCTCCTGTTAGGCCCCTGGCGTGCAGAACATGCACAGAAGCAGCAGCATGACACACACCCTTGCTCCAGGCAGAAATCTCGACCGGTTCTACAGGGACCAGGGTGCACAGGACAGTGGGCCCCACACAAGGCCAGGCTGAGGGAGGGTCCACCATCAGAGGACTGGTGCCGGACTTCACGGGGAGGTGCAATATGCCTGCCATGGCAGAAACATCAAGGGAGCTTCTCACAGATGTGGGGACTTCGTGTGTGCATTGGAGCAGGAGAGCAGGCCCAACCATGCGGGCCGCGTCTCAGGCTTCTGGGCAGGGTATGGAGGTGAGGACGCGTGGAGGTGTGGAGGCCAGGATGCCAGTACCTCTTCCGAACAGCAGCTGTGGAGCGGGGCTGGCCTTCCTGTGGACTACGTGCCAGGGAAACAATGCAAGATTTCCAGGTCTCCTGGCTCAAAGGCCCCCAGCCATGATAGGCTGTCTGGGGCAGTGCATCCTTGCTGGATCCTAAAGGCATCGAAGTTGGAATGAGGCGGGCAGGTGTGAGCTGGGAGTAGAGGCAGCTCTGTAGACAGAGGCCCAGAAACACCCCACTACCACACACTGCTCCGCCCTCTATCCCACCTCTCGCTCCTCCTCCAGGGATTGAGGTGGCCCATGCAGGTCTCCTCCAGCTGTCCCGCTCCTGCCTCCTGAGCCCTGTGCAGCCCAGCGAACGTGGCAGCCAGCAGCCCTCAGTGCCGGTGCCGCATTGGCAGTGGCCCTTCGCAAGCTTCGTTCCTGCGTCTGCCTAAGGAGGGGTGGCAGAGCCCGGGTATTAGATCCTTCCTTCTCCACACCACAGAATGGCTGCCTGCGTCCACACTGCTCTCTCCTCCCAACACAGCCCACACCACGGACCCCAGCTCCCAGACTCGTAGACACTGCGCACATCCGGCAGCACATTCTTCTGCAACTTGCTCAGCAGGCCTGTCCTGCCACTCTGCCTCACTTAGGAATCCTCAGGCTGCTACTCAAGCAAACAACTAGCCTGGGGGACTTGCCAGCTATGCTCTCGCCTTGCCCCGACATTCCTGGCGACCCCCACTATGGGATGGGATCCACGCAGAGAGGTAGCAGTGTATGCCCAACCTGGAAGGCAGCTGTGCCCAATGCGCTGGGTGCTCAGTTGCCTGCTCATTGCAAGCACCCATCACCTGCCTCGGCAGGAAGGGCACAGCACTCAGAGAGGCCCTGTCTCTGCATCCCTCCCTCTCACCACCCACCCCTGACGTTAACACTCTCTTCCATTCCTCCAGGTGCAGTGAAGTGCAGAAGCCACACTGTTTCCACAGGCTATGCCAATCAGCTCGCCACAGGGCTCTGGGGCACATCATCTAAAGCAATCCCCACACCCCAACACCAAGCAAACAACAAGAGCTTCACGGGCAGGGCTCAGCCTTTATTTGGCATTGGACCGACACCGTGGATTCTTGGCTCGTGCCAGGTGTCCCTGACACTTGACTTGCGGGGTTCCTTATCGTCCTGTCAGTAAGCACCCTGGTGGACTCTTCTCCTCTGCCCCGGTTAGTTAAATCCAAGGTCCCCTTTTGGCTCAGGAGCCGTGCAGCTGGGGTGGGGATCGGCCACGCTGCAACCAGCTGTCTCATCCATCCGTTCCGGATCCCTGTGGGGAGGGCTGCAGGGCAACACAAGCATGTACACACGCGTTCTGTGGCCGAGCTCTGTCTGCCCCTGCAGGAACTATGCACAAGACAGAGGCCTGAGCAAACGGCATCGCACATGTAAATGCATGCACACACTCGGGGAGAGTCAAACCTCAGTGCGTCTTCATAAACAGCAGGGCAAGGATAGAGTCCCTCAGCTGCTTCCCCAGGTGAGCTCCTTGTGTCTTTCTGAGACCTGGGGCTAATGCCCACCTGTGCTCCAGGGACATAGCCACTGCATGTGAAATGGTCCTGGGAGTCTGTGCCTTCCCTGGCACACTCCTGAAGAAGGACTAGGATGGTGGAGGGTCCATTGGACTAGGTGTGATGGTGAGTCACCCCTGCTGCATGGCACGAAGCATGGCAGGAAGCACCACGGCAGAGGATGGCAGCAGGACTCAGTCCATCCTGAGGTGCCACAATGAAGCCTTAAAGCCCGGTGGTGACTGAGAAGGATGCCTGGCATGTTCTGCCTGCCATGGAGACATGGGCGGCCTAGCAAGCTTGGGAGCATATTTGCCCAGACTTGGCAGAGACAGTCAGGCATGAGAAGTCTTCTCCACCTTCAGTCAGACTCACTTGTTTCGCCCAGTGTGAATCTGAGGCCTGCTCACCTGGCGCGGCGTCTGTTCCCGGAACACATGCCAACTTCTGCGGGGTAGTAGTGCAGTGGGTTGAGCCACAGGTCCTCACAGATGATCTGTGTGTAGAAGAGGGTCGGGAGGGAGGAAGAAAGCTGGCAGGCATGATGAGGAGGGCTCGGAGAGCTTGCAGCCTGACTCGAGAGCACCCAGCAAACCTATCTTGTGTTCAGCAGGGCGATGGTGAGGAGGTGCAGGGCGGGGTGCTGGGACTGAGAGGGAGGGAAATATAGGAAAGATGATGGTGCTGTGGGGCTGTGGGACGCAGCTCACCCTGGCAAACTTGCTGGAACCTGGAACACTGCGTCCCAACAACCAGTCAGAGAAACAGTGCCCACGCAGGTGCGTCCTGCAGCCGCCACGTTCTGCTTCATGCTCCCTCAGCCACCGGATAGCCGTAGATTGAGAAGCCCTGTATCCTGCAGGGGAGCAAGAAGCACGGCTCAAAGGCCAAGCTTGCTTCCTACCTCCTGTGAACCACCCCCAGACGCAGTCCCTGTCGTCCCACATTAGCAGGCAGGCACGTGCGTGCTCCAGGAGGAATTACATACCCATGCCCGTCTGGTCATACACTTTAACCAGCACTTCATTCTTGAAGTAGGGGTTCCTCCTGAAGGACAATTCTATACGGCAGTGTTCTTTGGGGAAGCTGAATTCCTGCACCTGGACAGGGGTCAGGAATGGGGGGAATCAGAGCGGCAGCGAAGGAGAGAGAAAGAGACAGAGATATAGAGAGGGTGGCTTGTGCTCTGGCAACAGGCATTCCTGTTGCTATTGGCTGCCTCCAGCAGAAGGCCTTCCCCCGACCCAGGCACTACTCCACTACCGCCATACACAAACCCCCAACCCTAAACCAGGCTGCTGACTCGCCTGCAAATCGTTCAGGTAGCTCAGCAAGTCCCTGTCTTGCTCACAGAGAATGCCCGAGATCTCCGGGTGATTCACCATCGAATTTAAGTCAAGGAGTCAGCACTGTCAGCAGAGAGGTGCATAAAGAATGG